CAATTAAAATTGTGTTAGAAAATAACTGCCTTCCCACTAGTGTGAAAGCCACTATTAAAAAATAAATAAGAAAATGAAAATTAATGCATTCATCTCAACTTTTAGGCATAATTTACGTGTTTTGGAACACAAATTAGACTATATTCATATTTGCTGAGTTAATATCATATTAATGCACTTGGGGTTATCGAATTTGTTACTAAAAGTTTATGAATAAAACAATTGTCATTTATATTTTTGTTTAGTTTGAAAAGAGTAAAATTTGTGGCGTTCTAATTTGGATAGAAGATGATTTCAATCGTACCGAGTTTTGATAGGGGAGATTTTTGGCGCGATAAAGGTCTTATGTGTGTCTATTTATTAGTATACTGAGAAGTTAAATTCCCCAAAATAAAATAAAAAATGAAACATCTCAAGAATCACAAAAAATATGAATTTTAAATTGGATAATTATTTCTACAAGATCTATTCACCCCCTTAAGGTCTAGATCAGTGGACCTCACTCTACTCTGTTTGAAAGCCTCGGGTTAGATCTGGACCTAGGGGTGCACACGGTTCAGATGTTCCAAAACTGGTCCTAACGGTTCCATTAAACTTGGAACCGAAATGGACAGTGAAACCAATGGAACCGAACCACGAAGGAATGATTTGGTTTGATTACGTTCAACGATTCTGCACTTTTTATAGTTCAGCCCAGTATATATATATATATATATATGTATATAACGAAATATATATTATAACCATATAATATTCTATTATATATATTTCAGACACTCGAATATATAATAAAATATTATTGTATATACATGCATTTATTCAACGCTTAGGTTTGGTTTGGTCCTCTGAGAACCCAAACCAGATTCGAACGAGTATAAATAGTTCCATATTTTTGGAACTAGGACCGGACCAAACTATGAAAAAATAGACCAACCAACTGCTCCGATTTGGTTCGGTTTGGTTTACCAGGTTTCTTGTGCACCCCTAGCTGTGTTACCTGGACTCGGTATATTAGCCCAGGATGTCCGTGTCGACACAACACGACACAGACACCAACTCGGGATATGGGTTGAACATCCTTTCGCGACATCGGAGACGGCTGATAAAGACTTGCTCATAGAAGATTGTATCACGGATGCTTGTTAGGGATTTGAACTTTTTTTCAAGCCTCCATGTTAGATCGGATGTGTTCCGTAAGTTTGTGGAGGCGGCTGGTTCAAAGATAGGGTTTTGGAAAGTTGAAGATGATGCTTTTCACACGCAGCTGTAGCAGATTTTCTGTTTTTGGTGGAGAGTATATTCACGCACTGCTGACTTTTCATATTCTGCCACTTATCACGTGTATATTATATGTGGACTACAGCTGGGTTATAACGGTAACGCACATCCATTGTGCACACATTAATACATTGGGCTTGGGCTATTACTTAGACATTAAATTGTAAGAGTGTTTTAATAATATAATCCATTGGGCTGGGCAATTATTTGGACATTAAAGCCTCTATGTTAGATCGGATGTGTTCCGTAAGTTTGTCGAGGCGGCTGGTTCGGAGATAGGGTTTTGGAAAGTTGAAGATGATGTTTTTTCACGCGCAACTGTAGCAGATTTTCTGTTTTTGGTGGAGAGTATATTCACGCACTGCTGACTTTTCATATTCTGCCACTTATCACGTGTATATTATATGTGGACTACAGCTGGGTTATAGCTGTAACGCACATCCATTGTGCACACATTAATACATTGGGCTTGGGCTATTATTTGGACATTAAATTGTAAGAGTGTTTTAATAATATAATCCATTGGGCTGGGCTATTATTTGGACATGAAATTGTAAAAATGTTTTAATAATATAATCCATTGGACTGGGCTATTATTTGGACATTAAATTGTAAGGGTGTTCAATTATAAAATATATTGAACTGGGCTATTATTTGGACTCTCTCTTATAAGTTATTTTCTTTTTGGTTTGAGGTAAAATAGTAAAAGATAATGTGGTTGCTAAAAGAGAAAAAAACAGACTTAATAAAAAATATAAATTCAACTGGTGCAAACTAAAAGGTATACAACTAACAAGAGTACTCTCTCCTTTACAACATATATGAAGTGTCCAGGTACCCGTGTCCGAGTTTTGGACACTTTTATTTCGTGTCCCCGTGTCCTATAATTTGATACATAGATGGATCCGACCTCTAGACACACACCCGTGTCCGACACCCGTACCCGAGTCCGTGTAACATAAACCCCTAGATCTGGTTACATTTCTCGCACGTAAACCCATCAAAAAGGAACATTGCTCTAGAAGAGTTGATCAATCATCAAGTGGATAAGATGAACACTACTCATAGATGACAAAAAACTTCACCTTCTATACTTCACTCCAGTTCGTATTTTCTACACAACATGCACGACTTCAATTGGGAGTAGTTGTCCTTTAAGACTTCCTACAATGGTGTAGAGCTATTAGTAGACCTGATGTCGATAAGTTCGACCACTAACATCCCTCATCCTGAAAAGGATTAGTCCTACTTCGAAGTGATGTTGTTCAACTCAAGGAAGAAATATCAATACTGTTTTGTGCAACATTCAAATGTTTGACTTCACTTAGTTCAAATCTACTCACTTGAAGCCACAGTATCAAAATCTCAACAAAATGTTAACATTGGCATCACTCCGAAGTCACCACTCAATGGCTTCAATTTCTCTACCATATTGCCACTAGAGAAGCCATATATCTTCCCACCATTTGTAAGCTTATGATGCATTTTGGTAAAGATAGCAATAAGAGGAAGGTGCTACCATTTCCAAAGACCATATGTCGCCTTATCGAAGAATCAACTTTAACCCTCATGAAAAGATGGCAAAATCCAAGATTGCTCTCAATTGCACATCCACACTCAAAGCACTTCTCACCTCTCATCCAAGCTATCTTAAAAACATGTGAATGTTGGTTCAGATGACTTCGAAGGAGGGGTGAAAGTAACTCCTCAACAAGAAGGAAAAGGCGCATCACCACAAGTCCCGCACCAACAAGGCACATACACTAACACTAATAACATCAACCATTTTAAGCCGACTATGTCTGGATCACGGGCCTTTATAGTCTATGTTTTTGGTTCTTAACGCATCAATTCTAAATGATATTAGATCTTTAGAAAACTGAACCACACCCACCAATTGATGTATAAAGGGTTAATCTCCATAAATGATGATAAACAGAACACAACAAATCTAGGTTCCAAATACTAAGCCTAGCTATAAAAATATGTCCTCTCACTTCATTGAATACCAAATTTTCGGTTAAAGCATAAAACATGATGTCTTCTTCACTCACAAACTCAACCAATGTCTCCCTCCATCTCTCAATGATTCAACCAATGTCCTTATAGTCTTCCCGTGCCAGGCAAATGTTCAACCTAGACTGTCACTCATCATAGTTGCACTCCATGTTACCCGGACTCGGGTGCGGGTGTCGGACACGGATACGGGTGTCGGACACGGATACGGGTGTCGAACACGGGTACGTGTCTAGAGGTCAGATCCATCTATGTATCAAATTATAGAACACGAGAATACGAAATAAAAGTGTCCAAAACTCGGACACGAGTACTTGGACACTTCAAATATGTTGTAAAGGAGAGAGTACTCTTGTCAGTTGTATACCTTTTAGTTTGCACCAGTTGAATTTATATTTTTTATTAAGTCTATCTTTTTCTCTTTTAGCAACCACATTATCTTTTACTGTTTTACCTCAAATCAAAAAGAAAATAAGAAAATAACTTACAAAAGAACGCCCAAATAATATCCCAGTTCAATGTATTTTATAATTGAAACACCCTTACAATTTAATGTCCAAATAATAGCCCAGCCCAATGAATTATATTATTAAAACACTATTACAATTTAATGTCCAAATAATAGCCCAATCCAAATAATAGCCCAAGCCCAATGTATTAATGTGTGCACAATGGATGTGCATCACAGCTATAACCCAACTGTAGTCCACAAATAATATACACGTGATAAGTGGCAGTTCAAATCCCTAACAAGCATCCACGATACAATCTTCTATGAGCAAGTCTTCATCAGCCATGTCCGATGTAGCGAAAGGGTGTTCGACCCATATCCCGAGTCGGTGTCCGTGTCGTGTCGTGTCGGCACGGATACCCTGGGCTAATATGCCGAGTCTAGGTAACACCAGTTGCACTTATTGCTCTTCAATGAATATAACTAAACCATCTTAATCAAGTTTCCATCATCTTGTCCATAGTTTGTGCTACCTTCACCTTCACAAAATTTATCTAATTTTGTCTTTACATCTTGTCATACATCTATCTCAAATCCATAATTCAAGTGCATATTTTATAAACGCAGTTTTTGACTGCAAAATATCCCCTATGAAATATGGCTGTTCCGCCAGAAGTATAATAGAAATTTTATTCAAATTGATAGGTATACACTAATTACACAGAACTCCTATTCCTCTACTTCACCCACCTTTCTTTAATACCATGAGCAATTAAGCCTAATTAATATTAATGGTCATTCTTTGAAATCTCTTGGCTAATATTCTTAACCACTTCCTCATTGCTAAATTCTAGTTTTGCTAATATTGCATTCTCGATAGACGATATCCGTCCAACTTGCCTTTATACCTCTATCCGATAAAACACACACACACGTGCACACATATACATATGGACGTATTTATGTATATAAACTCCAGGCTACAATAATGATGGAGAATGATAATATTTTTAACAAAGTAGAATGTAACATATCTACTCCAATAAATTGTGTGTATAGCTGTCATTTAAAATTTTGACAGCATCTTCAGTTTTCCATTTCTAGTAGCAAGTTATATATAACTTTTTTATATAGAAGACCGAAAAAAGCAGGAATGCAAGAAATGTACATGCTCTGTATACATTAGCTAACAAAATAGCACTCCTGTCAAAATATACTTAGGGATGGAAATGGGGCGGATTTACCCAAACCTTACCCCTCCCATTTATTGATAGCTTTATCCCGCCAATGCCCCGACCCTGAAACGGGCTTCTATTACAAATCTCATCCCCATGGCAAAAGTAGAGCTCACAGCCCGTACCAGCGTCCATGCCCAACTAAGCATAAAAACCATGAACAAGAGAGGAAATTTAAGTTTTAACAGAGAAATCAGTATATAGCTATTATATATATAGTCTGAACCCTAGACTAGACATATATGTAAATAGAGAATTAGAAACCCCAGATAGACATGGATAGAGAGTTAAACTCTATATATATACATATATAGATAAAGAGATAGACAGAGAGAAAGATGAGATCGTCACATAGATAGAGAGAGGAGATCGCTACATAGGGAAGAGAGATTATTTTCGTCGGAAGCTACCGCCGGAAAAGATGGCAGCCTCCGTCAGAAGGCCTGGCACTCAATCGTGGGAGACGAAGCGATCATAAGTTCACGGTGGGAGATCGGGCCTAGACTACATGAATATCATAAAAGTATGACCCCAGGGACTATGCGTAGTTGTTTTGAGATTAGAATTGGTTGATCCCGAAGCTTGACCCCCTGTGAGAGAGCACTGGCAGGAGGATTGCCTCTGTGAGAAGTCTGAAACCCTAATGAATAAAAGATCTATATCTACATATATATGATGAGGATATTTAAGAATTAGAAAAACAGAAAAAAAGAAGGGAAGGGGGGGCTGAACTATATAAATGGGGCGAGGCGGAAAACTCATTAACCTGTCCACACTTCAAATCCAAATCGGGTTTTCCCATACCAGCGCCTAATTCCTTTAAAATCTTACCGTACCCTGTCTTTCAGGGGCGGGCTGGGGCAGGTGATTTTGCCATCCCTAAATATTCTAGAAAATCCACAAAAGAAAAAAAAAAATCAGGTAATCCCCCCGTCATCCAGAATTAGGAGTGTGAAAGCAAGTTTTTTCTAGCCTATGAACCGGAAGTCCTGCATCTTCAAAGGTTATTCCCTTCTCCTTTCGAACGCAACACTTCAGGCAAAAATGTGGAGTCTGCCAGACCTGTTTCCCTCAGCTATTGGCACACTCGCCTTACCAAAAGTTAACAAAACAACCACCACACACCAAATAGAAAAAATAACATGCACACAGCTTTTCATCCACCAAACATTGAAGCAAGGGGTTATTAATCGTCTCCAAGGCTTTTCACACATGCCATTTGGAAGCATTTTCGCTCGTAGCCTCAAACTGGCAATGGTCAAAAGAGCATCAAGTATTGCAATCCAAACAGAACCTTAGAGACACTCTCACACACCCTATAAGAAAATCTCACATAATCCACTAATGTGGCTGCTTCATCTAAGACAATGCAAAAAAAAAATCCAGAAACACCTGTCAAAAGATGGTATAGCCACATGAAGGATCATGTCAAAACCAAGCTCTTTGGTTATTTCCTACAACAAAGCCACTGAATTTGGTAAACTAACCCCAACCCTTCCTGATACCTTCAAACCAACCTAATAATGAAACCAATTATCCAGAAGTCCACCTGACTTTGTCACACAAATCTCCTATCCACCATCCTCCTCCACGAGCTAACACCTCTAAATCGTTAGTCTATAACCATTACCAATCAACTATCACTTAAACTGCCTAAAGTTTCTGATGCCCAGAATCTCCCTCCTCCAATGGTAAGCAGACAACATTCCAGCCAACCAAGTCACATTTAAGTTCCTGTTCCTCTACAGCCTCCCTAAAAAAGTCACTCTGAAACATCACAAGTCTCTTCACGACCAAATCTAAATGGTAAGGTAGTCATAAAGTATGATCGAAGCTATGGAATTTGACAGCACTAGATCAATCTAGAGTTCCGTATGAATTACACTATATATGTGTGTCTATATATATACAGAACTTTTTTTGGTAAGTATATATATATGTGGAAAATTTTGTGAAGATCCAAAATTAAAAAGAATGATTGCTGGTTGAAATGAAAAAGTTTGAAATCACACCCGGTGTAGCAAAAATAGCCATTCAATCAGAGACAGAATGAATTTGCTAATTGTCATTGAAGTCATTGCAAATGGATAAGGGGATGTTTCAATTTGAATTTAATATAAATTCAATTTGATTCCTTCATCTCACGAAAAAATATATATGTATATATTGTTTAAAAGAACAAAAAGGTGAGAAGCCCTTAACACCAAACAAGAAATCAAGTAATTAGAAAACCACCCAAAATGAAAGAACTACATGTGGAAACAAACTTCTTTCAAATTCCAAATTAAAAAGGGTAACTCCACTTTAAGCTAACATAATGGCTTCTTCATGCGGCAATCTATGCACCCTGGAAGACGAGAACAACAGTTTCTGAATAATGGAGGTAGCTCCCAAGAGTCCTAGTGACAGATCAAGAAGGGTGTACACAAGAATTTAGGGAATTTCTATATGTATATTATTTTTATCATTTTTATTTTGGGGATAGGATTAATTGATAACAAGTATCCTTATTTCAGTAATTATATTTAGTTAAGATTGGTATTTATCACAGGGGGTGCTTAAAAAAAGGCTTTATTGATAGCTATGTTACATGAACTCTGATATGAGTACCAAGTCTGGCGGTTTGTCTAATTGTTGGACCTTCTTGAATCGGAAATCTTGGAACACATGGAAATTTGTCCAAATATTGGATACGGGTATATAGACACATTCCATGCATTTAAAATATGTTATATATTCTAATGTATGATGTTATTGTTCCTTAAGGTATACTCAATTAGAACTTAAATTAAATAAGATGTGCCCAAAAAAAAAAAAAAAAAAAAAAAAGGGGTTTCCATCCATCTCGCAAGTATGAAACCCTTCTCTGCTGTCGAATTTAGACTTTTTCTTCTTATTCCATCATAACATTTGGAGAACTGGAGTATTCTAGTTAGATATTTGTGTCAGACACGCATCTCATACTCAAACCCATGCCTTGTCGTGTCAATACAGATACATGAAGAGAAAAAAGAGAAGCCATGTACCATTGATCGGTTTAGGTGGTTTGGTCCATTCGGTTTGGTTCCAATTTTTATGGAACTGTTGGAACTGGATTGATTCAACTTTTCCCTAACCGGTCCAATTTTCACAAGAATGGTTTGGATTGATTCAGTTTGCTGGTTTGGGCTTTTAAGATGCATTAACATGTGTAGCAGTGACAAAAAAAAAAAAAAAAAAAAAAAAAAAAGGAGACATTGCATCACATGAATCTGTAACTCATCAAAATAACCTCACTAGAATAGAAGGAAACAGAGAACGAGAGATAAAGAGAGCGGACATAAAAGAGGCTAGTTATAACTCACAAGAGAAGAAGATGATAAAGAAGAAGACGTCATTGTTCACCCAGTGTAGTCAGCCATAAAGCCGCTAACCTTTGACAAATTAAACTGATGAAACCAGAGAGAATATGAATCAAATTGTTGATGTGAGTAATGAGATAGCTGGAGAATCAGCAGAGAAAAATCAGGTGAGTAGGAGAGATTGAGAGAAGAGAATGGGAACAGTAGCATCATTTGGATGCGAAATGTCAATTAGATGTCAGAAAAGATAAAAGGAAGGTGTTGACATTGATGGTTGGAACATATGGTAGCCTTTGGCCAATCGGACGAGGCAGCGGCAGCCATAGGCGGCAGAGACGTGAGAGGAAAGAGGGATCTTCAATTAAAGTTTAGTGTTAGGACAAAGTTACAACATATAAATAGTATTGATTCAGTGTTACTACGGCGCATGGTTAAAAGGATAGCTTACCCATATAATCAAAACAAATAGGTATACATATGCATGCATTGATGGTTCGGGTTGGTTGTTTTGGTCCCCAATGTGTGAATGAAACCAGTCCCAATGGTTTTGTTATTTCTAAAACCAAACCAATATATTGATCCTTTGGAACCGAACCAAACTGCATGGATCAGATTGGATCGGACAGGTTTAATGGTTAATTTGTGCACCCCTAATTTAAAAAGTGTGCAAAATGATAATCCTGATCTCTCTGCCTTAACTCCCTTGAGGTGAGCTCGTCTCTCAACAGGTGCAAAATGATGGGATACGCAAAATTTTAGGGAATTAATTTAGGGTTATTTTTTGTCATCTTTAGAATTATCCTCATCTTTGGTAGTTTTTTTTGGTTGGGATTGGTATTTATCACTTGAGTTACCTATAAAAAGACTTTGTTGATAGCATAATGGACAGATTTTCCAAATAGAGAATTACTAGAAGTTGCAAATTCTAGTCTCCCTTCTCTTCATTCTTCTTTCTTTCTCTTCTCTTCTTTCTGTTTTCTTCTTCCCTTTTTTCTCTCTCTAATTGTTCTCTTCTTTCTGCAACAATGGGTCTCATAGCAGACTCCAATCCCTCAGTTCCATCTTGTCTATCTTCGCCCCTCTAAAATCTATCCCATCTCTCATCCACAAATTGAATAGTTTCAATTGCATTTTGTCACATTGTTTGGGAACATACACACACACACATATATATATAAGGCAACTATAATATACGTGACAGGGAGTTGCCCTCCCCCCAAAAAGAGATCAGCTTGTTTTTCTTTAATCTTTTTCCTTCACTGGCTATGGTTGAAGATCTAACAAATACACCCACGCCTGTTATTATAATTTGATCTCTGCTTCGACAAATTAATTCTAACAGGTTATCTTTAGTCTTGTTGATGCAAATTGAATGAATTCATGCTGGACATATGGTCAAGATGATAATTTCAAGACCCTATTATCATCTCTAACCTTTTTTTCCTTTCTTTAATACAGAATTTCAATTTCAAATGGCAAATTGATCATCACAATTTTTTTTGATAAGTCAAATGGATCATCACAAATATAACAAAGAGAATATATATGCGGCAAACAACCACTTATAATACGCAGCAACCTAGTAAACAAAACAATAGTCGTTATTTTAAGATAATTTCTCATTCCTTCAATTACGAAAATGCAGCAAGGGTTGTGAGCCAATGCTCCTCAACTTCCCAAAGTGGAAGGTTGAAGGTTCAAGTCCTCGTATCATCAAAACAGGTGGGTTTATAATTTGGCGAGACAAAAAAAGATCTGTTTTCAAAAATGCAACTAGCTAGGTATAATGGAAGAATAAGAATAATGCAGCAGACCCTAGATAAAATAAAATTTGGACAATGATGTTTAATCATTCTCCTCATTTTGAACCAAATCAACATTGTGAAACCCTTACCCAAAAATGAAAATTATATAATCTGCGAATTTTGTTAATATTGATTCAATCAAAATATAAAAAATAAAATAAAATTTGTTTAGAAAATGAATATACCTCTCCGTAACTGGCATAGCACCATTGCAAAAGAGAGCTTCTAAGTGTATCTTGGTCTTGCATTAGTTTCTCTAACTCCTGCTTCCGACTTCCTTGTGTTTCTGAACTATATTCGAAATCACGAATCTGAGTAACATGCAAAAAAAAGAATGCACTCCCTTAGAAAACACTTTTCACCAAAATCAATGTCCATCCATATTATTCATGCAATCATTATCTCACTAAGAATAGCAGCGAGAAATTCTCAAATCTACAGAGCATGAGATAAAACTGTTTCTACAAGAACAATTGAGCTACTTGAATCAGAAACTCACTTGAAAACCTCTTTCGCGTGCCTTAGTCCTAAAATTGTCAGCATCACGACTGAAAAGTGTCACAGTATAAAGAGCATATTCGTTGTCCTCATACAGCTTCTTCGAGGATCTGGGAACCTATAACACTTAGTTCAGTCAAAAAGTAGAATTTACCAAAAAGACCACCAAGATGCATTCAATTATTTGGAACATTAATAAAATACGAAATCAAGATTCAAGAAGATGCAACTCCAAGGGGTTGGCCTAGTTGGAAAAGACTTGGGCCCTAGTGCCTCATGAAGCATTAGGTCTTAGGATTGATTCCTGCTAGGTGCAAACAATTCCTTGTAGGGTAGAGGAAGGAGGGGTGGGGGGTGGGTGTGTGTGTGTGTGTGTGTGTGAGTACCAACTAGGAAAAAAAAAGAGATTAAAGAAGATGCCGATTTTCAATTTCAGAGAATATGAAACAGATACAAGTTGATTGTTTTCAGCATGCTTGCAAACCTTATCTGAAATGCAGCAATCAAAGCTACCATGGCAATGCAATTAATAAACTGAGGGCCATAATTTCAAAATATGATAACATAAACAATAAATGGAAGTTTTACCACGTAAGTGGTGAGTGTCTCGTAGCTTGACAACCAATCCTTCTGTGAATACTTAGGAACAACAGCAAGGAGGGTTGTTAAATGCTCTGACGTGATAATGTCCTCTGGCTTTACCAAATTAGACAGATCACGAACAGCTAAGCTGGAAAAAGATAAAATTCAAATCAGCCAAAAGATCTAGATAAATAGTGCATAATGATACAATTTGATGTGCAGATCAAAAATGAGGTACTAGAATCTCCAAAAAATAAAAAATAAAAAATAAAAATTGTGTAAGCAGAGACCCCCACCCCACCCCACCCCCGATCCCCTTTATTTTCCGGTCCTTCAGATCACATTAGTTTCTCTAAGACCACATAACCTGTCCTACTCCAGTTCCTAGCCAACCATGACCTGTCATTGCCAGAAATTGACCAGCCAACCTCCAACAGTTGTCAAGCCGTTGATACAGTGCTTGTCAAAGTTTAACATGACAGCAATGTTGCGGCCGTCCTTTTTTTTTTTTTTTTTTTTTTTTTTTGTGGGTTGGGGGGGGGGGGGGGGGGGAGTGTCTGCCATTTTCTCTATCATGCACATACATACACTATACCCACCCAAAAGGTGCTGAGGCACAATACAAATATGCAATCGAGCTACATTGAAGTCCTAGTTTGTGCAAAGTTGTTATATGAAGAATCTCAGTTTATGTCAAATCTAACATTTGTAACATACCTTCCACTCTGCTTTCTGTTTATGGCATTGAGTTGACTGCGCACATTGCTGTACTCAGCAACACGAACCTATCACAAGTAAGACAGAAAAAACTTCACTTGGTCAGGGCGAGGTTCACCGTGGAAAACTATAAATGAAGATGTATATATAAGAAACAGATGCCTAAATCTTTGAGGCAAAACTTGCACATTTAGCCAAATAGATTGAGCAACAAATATCCTTTGTTGACTAGGTTAATAAACAGGTTCCTATAGCTAATGTAGATGTTCCAGTTAAAATGGGGAGAAAGGTAATATTTTACATGATTGAAGCACGGAAAATTCAAGAAAGTAACGCAATTATACAAATAGTTCAATATGTTTGGTGGGTAGCTTACATTAATTAACTTAGACAAGTATCTATGCATTACAGTTTCTCAACCACAAATCAATGACCAATCATCAGTATTGTGAATTGAGATTGCATTTTGTAAACATAACGGAACCAGTTCTACTAACAATGTTTAAAACAAGATATGGTTATAATGACCTATAACATCATAAGCCAGAAAATTCACAAATAGGAATCAATACCTTTAGATCATCCTCGATCCTTGCAACTTGTACATGAATGCTATCTACTATCTCCCTGAGTTGTGACATTGTTGGGTACTTTGCCTCATCCCACACAAACCTACAATTGAAAATCAAAATTAAATTGACCTAAAAAAGATTTCCCAAATTCTTCGAATCGTGATCACACTCAAATCCTATTACCTAGTCAGGTACGAATCGACAGGAACACCATCAACTGTCAATGAACTACTGAGCACGCCCGAAACCCTCTCCAATTCTTCAATCTGGCGCCGAATCTTGTGAGATACTGCTTCGATGAAGCTATTCGACTGTACATCATTCCACATAGCGAATTAAGCAAATCTAAACACAATGACTCGAAATCACAACGAAAAGTGTAATTGGGTTTAGAAAATTTTCACCTTTTGAATATCATCGCTGAGAGATAGAAGAGAATCCAATGTTCCAACTCGGAGATTTGGGATATTAAACTGCAAAATTAACGATTTCAAATCAGATCTCATCTATATATATATACATGAGTGCCTATATATATGTGCGTGTGTTGCCATCAGTACCCTGTAGAGAGGAGTGTCGAAGGAATGCTTGGAGATGGATTCCTGCAAGCGACTCCACAGAAGAGAATCGGAATGAGAGTTTTGAACGGGAAGAGAGACCACCCAATATCGTGTCGCCATTGTTGGCTAGATGCAGAGCTCCGAAGAGGGGTATGTGAAACAATTACAAGATCAGTATAATACAAATTCAACTGTCACTTCTCTTGCGAGAGAGCAACGTTAGATAACAAGGCACTATGCACCCTTCCACTTTATTTATTTTATTTTATTTTTCTTTTTTTTTTCCCCCTATTTTCAACAATGTTAGAAGCTTCTGCCAAAATAATAATAATAATAATAAATAAATTGTTCTTTTCACAATTCCAATAAATGTGGCTTATTTTTGTACTATTATGAACAAGTCAATCTTTTTTTTTTTTTTTTTTTTTTATACGTGAGTAAGCGATAATGTAATTCTTGTATTTCTGATTTTACTTCATTATAAATAATACTAAAACTTAAAAAGCATAACTAAGGTAGAAAAGAAAACTGAAGGCTTTCTATTTTAAAATTCTTTCCATAAAATGGTCTTAACAAAAATTAATTTAAAAAAATATATATGTGTAGGATGTATTTTTTAAAATTATTTGGCCACTAAGATAGTTTTAAATTGACAATATTATATTTTATAATCAATCTCAACAAGGCTTGACTTTCTCTCTGAATCGGGTAAATTGGTTAAATCTCATCCTTTAAAAATAAAGCAAGACCATAAATAGTACAAAACGTGAAAGAAGAAGATAATAAAAAATAATAATAAAAATTGAAGTGATGAAGTGAAGATCACCGATGATGGAGCAACAATTACTAATTGACATCTCAATTCTCGCCAACAAAGTGAAGATGAAACTGGAGGGAAGAAAAAGGGAGGGAAAAAGAAAACGAGAGAGAGAGAGAAATTGTAACAGAAGCAAATCAATAGAGATCCCAAAAAGCCAATTTAGGAAGCACACACCCAAATGGCGGCAGACATCATAGCACGTGTCCTCAAGCATGAGACAACTTTCCCTTGCCACATGTCCTCTTATAAATTCAACACATTCTTACTCACACTTTCAAAATTTGTAATTATAGATTTATTAAGAATTGAAATATAATTTTTATATATATATATATATATTATTTAAAATTTTTATTAATAATATGAATGAAATCCCTGACGTCTGTCAAAATAGCGTTGGACCTTTCCTGAAGTCCAAATATTGTCTAACTGAAACTATTGTTAAAATAGTCTTTAACCTCTCAAGAAATTCCTCACAATAACACCCGACCACTTAGGTTTGTCAAAATTTCTCTAACCACCCATAACGTTAATTATTGGAATATTTTCTAAATGCTCAAACTACCCTTTAGTGAGAGAAAATGACTCAAATGACTTTTTTAGAATACCACGTGACCACTTCAACCAAAATTAATTGGACAAAACTATCCGTTTTTATATCTACCATTTTGAAATGTTTTTGCAGAGTTGAAAACAATTTTTTTGTGGGTATTTGAAGACAATTTTCTTGAATAAGTGGTTTGTTGATGAATCAAAGCATGAGTTATTATTAGCCAATGTCTATTTTGTTGAATTATTTGTTGTTATGACAGCAAATATGGCGAATCATACATGGTATTTTAGTATACTAGTAAGGTTATTTGAGTCATTTTCTCTTACCTAGTGGCAGTTTGGATATTTATAAAATATTTCAGACTTAATTTTGACTAATGTGGGGTGGTTAGAGAAATCTGAACAAATTTCAAGGGGTGTAAGAGCAACTCCATTGGGGTCTCTAAAAATTAGCTCTCCGAATTTGCCACATCAGCATTTTCCAAGAGCCATGTTAGTATTTCCAAGAGCCATGTCAACGTTTTAGAGTCTTCAAGTTTTAGCTATCGCATACTAAACCTTCATTAAGAGTCTAGACATGACTACACACCCCTAGATCAACTCCTATTTCAACTTGGACCTTTAAAAATTCAACCACAGCGGCCCAGAACTCGCAGAAACCAACCAAAACTACAAAACCCTAAAGAGAGACGTCTCCAACAAGTTGGAGCCACCTCCAAAGAAGGTGGAGCCGGCTCCAACCCACTTAGAGCCGCCTCCAAGACATATAAAGCCGGCTCCATGATCCCATGGAGCCACCTCTTTCACAAACAGAGCCTGCTCTCTTCAACTCTGCCTCGTTTCTCCACCTGCTTCATCTCCGGTGAATTTCGTTAATTCCGTCCCTCTCTATTACAATCCCTAATGGTTTTAATTATGTTTAGACCTAACCAGAGAAGATCCATCTAACTCTTTCATGCATGGATTAATCATAATTTAAAACAAGAATATATGCAATCAAACTAGCAACTTACAGATTGTTTCAACACATACTGCATTTAAAAGTTTTGAACATGTATAACCAATTAATTCTTATGATTAATAGTTCCTGGAACTGCTTAGGCATGCAAAGAACATGAGAAAAATGGAAAGAGTGAGGTTAGAACTTGCCTTTGAGATTTCAGTTCTAAAATCCCAACTTCGTCTTCTAAGTTCTCCGGCGAACTACTGTAATTCTCCTCTGTTCCTTCTCTGCCGCCACTGTCGTGAATAGGGTTCTAAAACCCTAGGCAGAACGTATTACATATATTTAAAGGCCACCCTTAAACCTAAGTCCAACTAAACCCTAAACTGAAACTCAGCCCATAAAACACACCCTAGTTTATAAAACTTGTCAGCTAAAAACGTGACTTCCAAAACACAAGAAAACCTAATTTAATTACGATAACCATGCAATTAAAATAATTAATCAAATAACATTTAGCTAAAGCAAATAACCAATTAAAATAAAATAAAATAAAATCCAATGAAATAAACAGTTAAATAAAACAACTAAATAATCCAATGGTGCATTTTCGTTCTCAAAAAATATTAATATTTTAATATTTTTAATAAATTTTATTTTTTAACTTTTTCCTAACTGCTATATCATACAAAAAATTTAAACATTACAATATTTATTATGAATTACAAAAATTAAAACAATACAATACGATATGAATTTTAAAATAATAATAATACAATACCATTATTAAAATCAACAACGAAAAACACAACAATCATACGAGAAGCTTAAGATAATTCTATGGAAAGCTTGAGTCATTGCGTGAATGTATAGATTCTAATATTTCATTTTGGCGTTCAATTAGCTATGCTTTCCCGGCTTGTGTTGGCATCAATTCTGGATCTGTTTGCATGATTGATATCTCTCCAACTCTTTGTTTATTTTGAATCTCTCTTAGTTTGTTTTAAAGCTTCACTTGTCTGGTCTTTTCTTTTTCTACTCTGTGTGCCTCTCATGCTATTTGGGCGGCTGCAAGACTTTCAGATTTAGATTGATAAAGGGATGTTGCGTCATCGAATGTGCTAATGAATTCATTGTGTAATTGGTTAGAACATTTATCCTTATTTCGCCTCTGTTTCGCTACTTTTCGTCCTTGTGGTCACTAACATCCTTCAACATCCGTCAGATCATTTTCACCTATATGTTTCGATTTTTCAACCAAACTTGGTGTCATTGCTGCATTACTTGATGGAGTAAATGGGTTTGAGTAATCAACAGACTCACTATCATCAATGTGGATTCTATTCTTCTTCTTCGATGGTTTTTTTTTTTATGTAATTGGATGCCAATTCTTTTTGACAATGTAAATGTCATTTATTGTTGTTCTTCACAATGTTCCAACAACTATCAAACTTAAATTTGGTGTTATTTTGACGAGCGAACAACTCTTTGTTTGTTATCATCTAAAAAAATAAAAATCAATAATTATTAGACGAAAAATCTTTAAAATATTTACCACTTAAATTTAATATAGTAAATAACTTACTTTGTACTCATTGTCTTGCCCACTAGGTGATTCCTTTCAATCTGGGCCATGCACCCATAAAATTTGGTAATCATTTTATTACATGAAGGACCAACGATTCAAGCAGGCGTTACTAACTCTTTTAGGTGTACCAACGCCACTAATGTGTTGCTCAAAACTTTCATGAATTCGGCTCCATAACGTTGTCTTTTGTTAGTCTGAACCGATGACCGCATCAGAGCTAATGGTCATACACGCATAACATAAAGCCTCATCTTCAGCCATGGACCAATTAGGAGGCCAACTAACCCTTTGCTTTCTGGGAGGTTGGGAGTTATTGGATTTTGGCACTTCAGTAGGAATGTTGAAAATTTGAGAAGGTTGATGAGACGGAAATTGAGATTCTTCTCCAACAAATTGCAAGAAGGGATTAAAATTATCATTTGATTGGTTAAATTAGGAGTTATAGTTGTAATATGATAGTGGTGCATCCATGGTATTGAACTTGAGTAAAAAATATAACTAAAAGATTGAGAAAGTGGCTTAGTAGTTATAGTTGTAGATTGAAGAGTAGAAAATATAGATGGATTGGATATGAGGTGAATGATAGTAGGGATTGATGTATTTATAGAGGAAAAATGAAAGGTTTTTTTTTTCTTTAATATATATATATATATATATAATTATTTTTAAAAAAAAATTCAAAAAACATGTTTTTGTGCCAAAATAGCCATTAAGGCACTGTTTGGGTCAGCCAAACAGTGTCTAAAACGGGTATAATGACAGTAGGAATATTGAAAACTTCAAAAAAAAAAAAAAATCATTTTTCTCCATTTTTTTAAAACATTTTTTGCCCAAAAATGCCTTTAAGGCACTGCTGCCTTAACGTCTCTTTGGTTCAATTATGTTGAGGGAAGAAAAAAAGCAAAAAAATGCAAAAAAAAAATTGGTTTCTAAAATTTTTTTCACAGTCAAACACGCCCATAAATATATTCTGGGTTACAGTGTTACTGGACCACAAAAGTTAAAAAACAAAAAATTGGGCGCTAACTGGGTCCCCATTTATGGCGACCTATTCCCTGATCCAAATGACGTGGCCAAATTTTAGCGACCCATAATGGAGTAGATTGGGTCACCAAAATGAGCCAAAAATTGCTTAAAAGGCCACTATTGGACTTACTCTTAGAGGTTAGAGAAATTTGATTAAGAGATATTTGAATAAGAAAGTTCACGTATTTTAACTATATTATGAGTTTAGATCTTTCTACTTATAAATGTTGCTGAGACCTCTAGGTAGAAAGAAATACTAAGATTTTTTTTTTTTTTTTTTTTTACCTTGGCAAACAAAGACACCACCAAATTTAAGACAAATAATCTTTGGC